AAAAAAATATTAAATATAAAATTTAATTTATTAATTTATTTTATTTATTTAAAATAAATAAATTTTATAATAAAAAAAAAATATTTTTATTTAATTAATTTTAATAAGTTAATACTTTATTTATTATTTAAATTTTTTTTATAAAAGTTTTAGTTATAATATAATAATAAATTGTTTTTAAAATATTTATTGAAATAAAAGCTATTAAAAAAAGAATAATAATTATTATTTAACTAGTTATAACATTAACATTACTGCTTTTATATTAAATTAAAGCTATATAAATGTTTTAAAGTATATAAAAAGTGTAATTTTTTAAGCTCTTAGTTTTATTATTAAATTAAGCTTAAATTAAAAGCGTTTTTTATTTATAATATAAAAAGATTATTTTTATTATAATAAAAAAATTAACTTTTTTATTAACAGTTATTAAGTTAAGTTTTTAACTATTAAATATATTTATATAATATAATAAAATTAATTTATATATTTAAATTATTTTTAATATTTGTTTTAATAATATAAGAATAATTTATTATGTTTTTTTTATTATTATTTTTAAAAAAGTTTAAGTTAGTTTTATTATAAAAACTATTAAGTTAAAGCATTATCTCTTATAAATAACTTAAAAAAAAAGCTTTAAAATTATTATAATAAAGTTAAATTAAGTATAAATAAATTAAATAATAAATAATATTAATATAAAATTAAAGCTTAAAAAAAAAAAAAAACAAGTGTAATATATAAATAAAAGTAATACTTTATATATATTAAAGTATATAAAAACTAATAAAGTCTTTAATATAAGTTATAATAATAATAATATTATTATTAAATAATTAAACTATTAATATTTTGTTTATGTTTATATTATTTATATATTATTTATATTTATATTATTTATATATTATTTATATTATATTAATTTTAAAAAAATCTTTTATTTAAAAATTTATATATTATTTATATAATTAAAATATTTAAATAAATTATATTATAACTATATAAAAAAATAAATATTATATAATTTAAATAAATTAATTAAGATTTTAAATTATATAATAAATATAATTATAATAAAACTATTTATTTATTATTAATATTTTATTAACGTTTTATTAACCAGACTTTTTTTAACTTCCGGTGCTATTAATTAAACTTTTACAGACCTCGCCGGCCGCTACGGACCTACATAGACCTACACCTACGCCAACCCCCGCGGCCCTCGCTAACCTCCGCGGCCCTGCAGACCGCCACAGCCCTCCGCAGACCTCCGCGGACCCCCGTACGCCTATACAGACCTCCGTACGCCTCCGTACGCTTCCGTACGCTTCCACCTCCGCGGACCTAAGGGCAGGGCTATTAAGGGCAATAGATTTTAGCTGTGTGCCGCGGCACTTGACACGACCTTGTAGGGGGGGTGCAAGCACTAGCCACGCAGTGGCTAGTGGCCATGGCTGTGTACGTACGTAAATAGCTCTCCGCCGGCGGCGGCCTTCGGCCACCACTACTTACTTTAACACATACCACACATAAACACAATTACAGGTTATTACACCCCATGTAATTTATGTCAATTATGTATATTATTATAGTTAATAAGTAATAACTTATTTGTTTACTTTATATAGTTTATGGAATTTTGTTAAAATTATTATTAAAAGCTATTAAAATGTTTACTTTAAACTATTTTTAAATAAAAACATTTAAAATTTTCTTAAAACAAGCTTTTAACAACAACTATATCTAATTTATATATGCTAACGCCACTTTTAAACACGCGTTTAAAGAGCTAGAGGTTGGAGTGTTGTTAAGGGGTCTTAATCTGTTTTAATACCGCGCTGGTTTACATGTACTAATGCAACATGCTTTATTTGCTTAACTGTTAAGCAAAGCAAGCTAGCTAGCAAAATGTAAATAGGAGAAGAATGTTTATATTGATCCATCTCATTGCACGCTTTCTACCGTTAATGGAACACCCTCATAGGGTGGTGTTCTAGCTAACCCGAAAAATCGTTGGTACTATGGACAGCATCGCGAACGGCCACTTCACTGCATCAACTGCCTGCAAATGCATGATCCACAGTCGGAAATAAATCCGCTCTATCAACCATGAAGACAAGAGGAGGTTAAGCTAGTTTAGGATGGTTTCGAGGTGTGCGCGAATTGCAAATCTCTTTGGGCCCTCAACATAGTTCATCCGTCGCAGCGAGTGAATGTCCGGCTGTGTCACGGGTATTAGTAACAGCCTACCCGGAGGGTAGCTGTAGTGGTGGCTATATATATATATAAGCAGTGAGCCCCCTTGAATTAGGTGGTTCAGGAATTAATCTATCATGTTATTGAGCCCTAACTACTACTCACTCCGGGACTAATCCTCTAACAGGCTGCCACTTCACTTCTATAGGCCTAAGGCTGCTGCAAAATCAAAGGGCCGTTAATTCTGGTGCGAGGCTAGCACATGAGTTAGGGGCATCTTTAGGTGGCTGCTTCTTAGTACGGATGGTTCTTTTCTACTATTGTCACACGCACCCGTACCCGGGGGGTTTGGGACCTCCGATATCATGTAAATAATCGCATATGCGGCAAGTGGCAGATCAGATCTTTCGATCTGGTCTGATTCTATTTGACCCTCTGAGATAGTCTGCCGTCGAGAATCAGCGCAGTTGGCGATTTAAGTGAGGCTATTTAAGCATAAAGGCCGAAAGTCGCCGCCCCGCAGAAAGGGCCACCTTGACTGCATTAAAGATTATTATGCAATATAAATCTCTTTCTAAGCCCTTGAACTCAAGCCCTTGTAACAACTATTTAGGACGATTTATGGTATAGGGCTTATGTGTTAAAGGTTAGCTTAGTTACTTGTTTAAGTGGGTGGGATCGACCGGAACGACTCCTGTTAGACATGCAAATTCCTTGAAATTTGTCATGAGGATGGGTCCCGGAGTGAGTAGTAGACCTGTATACAGCCAGGAGAGTAGTAGTTAGGGCTTAATAACATGATAGATTGGTTCCTGAACCACCTAATTCAAGGGGGTTCGCTGCTCATATATATATATATATACAGACACTACTACAGCTACCCTACGGGTGGCTGGCACTTAGTCACCTGAAAAATTTATGTTGATAGCTGTACTCGTTTTGCTAGTAAAGCGTGGAACGTGTGACGTGCGAGTCCTTCAATCTGTCAGTATTCGATAGCCGGCCGAGGACCCTCCCGACGCGCCGCTTTCTGTTGGCTCCACGTGTGCAAGACTTTCTAAATGCTCTAGGGCGGCTTTACGTAGCGCTTTTCTAGATAGTCTAGACATGAAATCCTGCATTAATTAACTGTAGAGCTTCTTTGGCACCTCATATAAGAACGATTGTCTCATCATCGAGAGCATTTGTGTTCTCCCGAGCCTCCTTGCTTGTCATGAAGCAATACAGGAGATAGTTACGATTGGCAACAGGGACAGCCACCCGTGTCGTATAGCCTAGCAAAGGCTCCACCTTCACTATTCCATATCCCTTTTAGGATCCTTGGCGCAGTAGGTAGTGGTACTGGAGGTTGAGCTTTGACAGATCTGGAATCCTCATCATAGCAAGCAATGTCCTGTGACACTATCTATACGTTTAAATCATATCCCCAAACGAGGTCAAAGGAGAACCCCGCAAAACAAAGAGATAGAAAGACTTCCGGAACAAAATATGATGGAACGAACAAAGGTAAGAATGCTCGTGTACAACAATGAGGCTTGAACCGGGATCGAACCGGTGGCCTTAGGATCTGCAATCCCACGCTCTAGCCACTGAGCTACCAAGCCGCTGAGATATCACGAGGGAAATCCAACGTGTATATATACCAATAGTACTTGGACCGGCAGTTGGGTAGCTGTTATGCCCTAGCACCTAGAACCGAGAAAGATTCAACTATGTGGCTCTGGACTATAACAAGAAGTTACCTAATGTTTAAGGTGTTTTTTAAAGGCGCCGTAGAAAACATCAAGACACGTTTGTTAAACACCGGAGTGATATAATGCTATAAATATAAATTAAGAAACGAAAAATTAACATAATTATTCATCTTCACCTAATAAAAATAGCAATAGAGTGAAGCTAAATTTAACTACTTAGCAAACAAAGACCTTGAACTTAAATTTTCACGAAAACTACCAGCGAGATCAAAGAGTATATTTAACAAAGGCTTAGAAGGATATTCGTCTTTCAGCAATCTTCTATGCCGTTATGGGGGCCGTGTGGAATTAGATAGTCTCCCTATTTAGCCAGGCGAGCCAACAACATCCCTGATGTCCAAATAAGGGCTCGCAAATCTTTAGCTTTGCCGGTCTCGCACTGCTTATCTCAGAAAGTAGCTAGTTCGCGGGAGTGGTTAGCATCGGCGGCTTGCTGCTCATATGGTTATACATGATAATTATCAGGTGACCCAGTTTCTCAACACTTGTGTGTGTAACATTGGAAATCTGAAATCATGAAGAACTAATGTGTAAGCTCATGTTCTTCTAATATGTATCTCCCTGTGTCACAAGGGATAGAGACAATGGGACTTCTGTATATGTATCTAGGATAGCCTCACGTAGCCTTGAGACCCCCGTGCAACAACAAGAGTCTATACCTACCGTATACTGGGTTTGTGACACCCTGTATCCTAATGTCCACCAGAAACGAACGTTGCCAGAACGGTCGCATACGCAGCAGATAGCGCCATCATCTCCAAGCTAGAAACCTTCAACGCCGCAGTTACAACAAAAGAGAAAACCATAATGAAGACAGAAACGATGGCAACTTGAATGTCCTTAGATTTATGTATTATGATAACCAGCGGGACTATAAGGAAGACACCAGTAGTCACCGCTGTAATAATACGCCCTGCAACTTCTGCTATTAATATAGTGTTTTGGTAATCCCATTTGCGGGGTTTAGTGATCACTCCCGGCGCTTTAGAATCTTTCCGATTGCTCTTCAAATGTTGCCAATATCGGAAGTCACGTAGATACTTGTGTAGGCGCCGCTGGAAGGGATCTGTACGGAATCGAACACCGAGGTCTGTCCTAACGAGTCGCGTGTTGTAAATTTCATATAGACTCAGTTCTGTCCGCAAGCTAGATTGTCTTTCATCGTCCAAGAGCGAAAATGTCTCCATTGTCATAATGTGATTAAACGCAATGAGGGCTTCATCTGATATATTGCTTAATTAGATGACCGTCTTTCTCAAGTTAATAATTTCTGCAGGCATACCGTATCCCTTGAGCAGATTGCACGGCGATCTGAGGATGAAGGACCAAGGCCCAGACCAAGAGCAGCCTGGTATATAGTATGATTCAGTGTAGCAATCTCGCCTTCTAGAAAGCGGAGATTAAGGAGGTAGGTAGTTTTGAAGCGCCGGAATCCATGAAGGGTGAGGCTGTTGTCCGCCGTAGTGGTTCGCCAATATTTCATAAAATCCTGCATCATGTCGTCTGCATTTCGTATCGAGGCTGACATCGATATTACTGGTACATAGGTTTTAGGACTCCATAGCCAATTTATATTCGCCAGTATCTTAAATATCTGGAGCTTTAATTTGCACCCTAGGCACTGGATGTCACACAGGCCAAGCCAGGTGCCCACGCCTGCCAGCCTCCCGGCAAGAAATACAGACTTTGAGGCCGGAACCATTGTCAGCCATCATATTACGAACCTAGATCAAAGGCAGCCAAAGAAAAAGTAGACTAGAAGCCAAGGGCAAAGGGGGCAAAGGGCGATATTATAGCGAAGGATGAGTTAGGAAGGCCAAGGACCTTTAGACCCAAAGAGAATTATTGGAGCTATTCGAATATAACTTTCTTGAAGGACCAGTTTGATAGGGAGTTGTAAAGCTTCAGTTATTAAAACAAACAAATGTTCAGTCTCTTCCTCTAGACAGCATGGCTCCTAGTGGTAGCTGCTTGTCCGTTGCATCCGAACCCACCATGTCCGACCTTGTGACTGCAGCCGTGGAGATCGCGGGAAGCATCTTCCTGATTTAGGAGTCGCTCACGGACCTAGTTGTGACAGGCATGTCGGGTGGAAATTGAACATTGTTCCCGTTTGTAGATATTACAGCCCGGCTTGGCCTGTTTGTCAACTTCCACTGAAAGTCATCCTAAGATCTTCAACAGGCATAGGGTGGAAGGAGATATTATTGGGACTCGATCCTACTGAAGTCTGGAAATTCCTTCCTTAATCAAAGCTCTGTTCTTCCCCCATGATAAAGAAATTATTTCATCTATTTTATACCAAACTTGCCTCAATTTTTCTCTCTCTTAATTGTCTTATATTAACTCGTTCCATCAATTCATCCCAGGCTCTCCCAAAACACAAGACTCCATCACTTCCTTCTAATTATCGACCGGTGCTTCCTAGTTGAAAGTTTGATAGATGTCTAGACCCACAAATGGCTTAGGCAACAGTTTATTGAACTGCTCTAGGAGGTAGTATAGTAATCATCACTGTACCATATTTACTAGCTTTGTGCTCCTAGTAAATCTGATTTTCCTAGCAACACAGGCGGGTTAGCTGTCAGTCCAGACTAGGCGTACGGAGCCAATTGACAGTAACAGGTTGTTACAGGTCGTGCGTGACACGCCTGCGTTGCTCCGGAATCCCTGGAACTTAGTCTAGACCACATTGATCAATGCTCTGATCCTGGCTATTCCTAGTCACTCGTGTCCACAACAATGACTTCATCTGGCCCCTCGTCCTCAATAACTTCAAATCGCTGCGGGACGTTGCCCCTCACGGCCACGTACACTTCTTGGCCACCCAACGTCACACCAAAGCTAGCTCTGTGCGTGTGCGGATCGATGGGCCAGTCCGTCACCAGGATGCCCTCATGCACTTTAGCAAAATCAGATGCCTTTCCCTCTTCTAAACTTTGGGCCCTTTTGTAGCCAAACTTTCTTGTAAGCTCTACTATATCGAAAATAGGTACGTAGCGCTTCGGCTTATCCTCAGGGTTCCTGGGCACGATAGGTTTATTGAAGCGTTGAGTGTTCTCCAGAGGTATATAAACACAACCTGGAGGATTTAATTTACGAAAATAGTGGTAGCCGAAAATGACATCGAAATGTCTCACCTGGTACTATATCTCAACGGATGGCTGCAGCTATATGCAACAACTCAGTGAGTACCTAGGTAGACACGGCAGCTCACGGACTACAGAAAAGAAGGAAATATAAATGCTTCCGTTAAAGTGTCATATAATAGAGTAATACTAATACACAACATGCACTAAGAACTGGTGTAATAGTACCGCTCTCTTTATTAACAATACAACATACATTGAGAGTAATAATGGTACACAACATCCCCGACAACCTAGATCCTATAGGACCAGATTCACGGCCAATTGGCACGGTTCTAAGTGCTGGTAGGGCCAGCGTTGACTTATTGTTGTTGCACGAAGGAGGAAAACCCCCTATTCTAGGCTAGAGGCCATCTAGCTAGTATATATACACGGGCCATGGGCTTGTGCCTGATGCCCCGGTCCCCGGGGGTTAATCCGTAGCATTCCGTGACACGACTTGTCTTCGTTAATTGCCCTTCGCTCAAATGCAGATACGAGGTTGAGTTACAATCATCGATCATATGCTAACAAAGGGCATGTTACATGTATATAGGCGAATGTCGGGTAATATCATCAGATTTGAACCGCTGCGCAACAATGAAAGCCGTTACACACCCCTACCACAGAGATTCTGACAGGCTGCGAACAGGAGATCAGACTTCGGACAAAGTCGCCGAAAATTATCGACGTTATTCATTAGTTATTGTACACGCCGAGGCTTTCCTCCCGAGATCATGACCTCGTGTGATCTCGATCACGTAGCACGGAACTATGTTGAGACCACTTTCAGTATTGGTTGTATGATTCTCGTCTTGAGCGGTAATGGTTGGGCTTTTAGCAGCTGGAGTTCAGGGTATTACATCTACACTCGGGAAGTCTAGTTTACCTACACTTAACATAGAAAATCACAACGCGTGTGATAAGCTAGACAGGGGTCCTACAGGCACTGCCCTCACGGGCACCTAACATTAAAAAACGCCCTCAACTACTTAAAACTAGCTAAATTATCGAATTTAACTATAATTGCTTATTTTTTAATATTTTTAACTAAAATATAATTTTTTGTTTTTAATATATTTTTAATTATTACTTCCGGCAGCTTGTTGCTGTTATTAAATATTTAGTAATTAATAGCTTTATTTTTAAAAATATTATAATTATGTAATTTTTATTATGTTTTATAAATATTTATTATATATATGAAGTATTATTTAAGAGCTATTTTAATTTTTTAATGATAGTTTTTAATATTTTTAATAACTTTTATTTTTAAATATTTAATTTTAATTTTTAAATTTATAATTTAATAAACTATTTAGTTAAATATTTTTATAATTTTTTATATTAATAGTTTTAAAATAAATATATTAAATTTATTATATAATTAAATAATTTTTTAAGTAGTTTTATAAAAATTTTAATTATTTTAAAATATAATAAACTACATTTTAGCTTATTTTATATTAAAATTTAATATTTTAAGCTATATTTTTATTATAAATACTTGCTATTATTTTTATATTATATTTTTTTTTTTAATATAATAAATTATAATAATAATAATAGTTTTTAATTATATAGTTAGATTTTAAAGGTTTTTTAGATATTTTTAATATTATTAGAAATTAATATATTAATTTAAACTTAGCGGTATATTTTTAAAACTTTTTTTTTAAAAGCTTTAATATTAAAATAACTACTAGGCTTTTTTTATAAAAT